GGGGAGCGTCCCGGCAGCGTTTGCAGTCGGCCTGGGGCAAAACTGCCGGTGGCCAGCTCGATTTGACCCTTCCGAGTCGGTCTGAGCGACCAAGCGCTCCCCACGCGGCCATTTTAGTCAGCCCGGGGGTTGTGTCCTCCCACACCGGGCCCTGCCGCCGCTCCCCCCCTCCCTCCCGAAGCGAAAAACCAGCCCTGCCCTGCCGGGTTTGCGCCTTGGAGCCGGTCCTGAGCTCCTCGGTGGCATTTAAGTCTCTTGAAATCGCTGTGGAGGAGCTCCGAGGACATTTGCTGGTTCTGGGATAGCTTGAAGGGATCCTGCTCCTCACTAGTACTTACCCTGTGCTGCCCCCTCTAGTTTAGTGCCCTCACAGACCTGTCGATTCTGATAATGGGCATCTGCTTGCCCGGAGTCTACGTGACACCGTCCCCCGGGGTGACTGCGAGACTGTCTGCCCTAACACTCCCTGTTTTTCAGAGGTGGCCTATTCCCAGAGCACTGGCCAGAAAGAGCAGCTGAGCCGCTGCCTGCAGCGAGGTAAGAGCGTGCTGTTCGCTTCCCTTCACACACAGATTCTCTCTTGCTGCTCTAGTTTGTTGAACATGTTTCTAATGCTTTCTAAAACAGTAAAAGCCTTCAGAGCTGCAGTAAAGCATGAAGGTGGCCGCTGGTTCTGTGTCAAGCCAGTGCCTGCCTTTAGCAAACCGCCGCACTAAGGGGCTTGGGAGATATTTTCATGCTGGGCTGCTCTCCTGCCTTTGCCTGGGGCTGGGCGAATGCTGCCTGTGCTGTTATATCGAGGAGGGGAGTGTTTTGGAAGCTGCTTGAGCTGATCTTTAAGACCAGTGTCTTCTCACAGGGATCAGGCGGGTCCAGGATCTCTGTAAAGTCCTCCAGCTCCCGACGGTGTTTGAGGAAACGGCAGTGTCGTACGTCCAGAGAGCTCTGCAGCACCCCTCCTTCCACCTGGTCAGTCTGGAGAAGAAGGAGCTCCTGGGGGGCTGCTGCGTCTTTGTGACTTGTCGACAGCACAACTGGCCACTGACGATGGGGACGATCTGCTCCCTCCTTTATGCGAAGCAGGAACTGTTTGCCAGCGTCTACCTGAGCCTGCAGAAAGAGCTCGAGCTCTCTGTGCCGGCCCTGAGCCTGGCAGATCTGGTGAAGACTCACCTGAACAGGTAACGGGGCCCCTTTCAGCCGTTTCGGAGTCTGTGTTTGACACCAGAGGGTGGAAAAGCTTCTGAAACGCAGCTGTGGCCAGGGCAGAAGTCCGTGAGCACAGACAGAGTGACCTGTGCTGCTGCATGGGCACGTTGCTGAGTGCTCTAAGGCAAAACCAGATCATCTGGAAAAGTATTCACAGCCCCCTGTGCTGGGGGGGGGCATAGCTTGTGGGCTGGCTGGCAGTGCAGATGCAGAAGCATCTAAAATTCATGAGTGGGAGTGCACCCTTGTCCCTGAAAGGACAAACTCCACCGGGTTCTCTCTCCAGCCGGTGGTTGTAGCGCGGCAGAGCCGCCTAGAGGGGGTGTCAGCAGGGCTGGTGTGGGCTGGGGGGAACAGCCCGCTGATTTTACCGACTGTGGTGGCTTTTGTGCCTCCTGCAGCCTGGGCTGTGATTCTTCTCTTCCTGCCCCTTTCTCCTCCGTTTGGAGTGCGGGCAGCGCAACGCATAGCGAGGTAGCACGAGCCCTTCACGGGGTGGGGGGTGTTTGTCCTAAAGAACCTCACAGCCCAGACCCCCGCCCGGCTGCATTCCCCAGGCGCTGACGACACCCTCTGCTCTTCCAGTTTTCGGCTGTTCCAGCACGCGGCTGACATCCCGGCCCCCTTTGTGGAGAACAAGGAGAAGGTGGTGGCCCGAACGATGCAGATTGTGGAGCTGGCCAGTGAGACATGGCTAGTGACCGGCCGGCACCCTGTCCCCATCGTCACGGCCGCAGCGTTCCTGTCGTGGCAGTCGCTGCAGCCGGCCACCCGCCTCGCTTGCACCCTGGCACGCTTCTGCAAGCTGGCGCGCGTGGACCTGCCGCCTCCGGCGCACCTGAGGCTGAAGGAGCTCCTTGAGATCCTCCTGAGAATGGCCTCCCAGCTCGCCTGGCTGCGGGTGTTTAACTTGGACAAGAAAACTGTGGTCAAGCACATCGGGGACCTGCTGCAACACCGGATTTTCCTGCTGAAAAGCGCCTTCTGCCCGGAGGATGAGGAGGAGCAGCAGTGTGCGGCGGCCCCGGGTGAGGCCTCCCCCGGGTCAGCAGCGGGGGCAGTGCAGGGGGGGGGCTGTCCCTCGGCGGGGAAGCGCCGGCCCTTGCTGCCGCCCTGCCTCGTCAATCCGAGGAAGAGGCTGCGCACGGCAGCACCGAGCGCTTCGGACTCTGCCGTCACTGGCGAGGAGCCCATCTCCGACGGCGAGATCGAGCAGTACCTGCGCGGCCCGGAGGAGATCCGGGCCTTCAGGAAGGCCCAGGCCTGGCTGTGAGGATGGTCAATCTCAGCGTGGGCCCGGGGCTGCAGGGGCTGCGGCACCAAAAGTGTAAAACCTGCTGGTGACAGAGCCGTCGCACGATGAGGGAGTGGGGTGGTGGGGAGGGTGCAGGCTCTGTCCTCTTTCGTGTTCTGGACCAAAATGGGGCTTTTTCTGGAGTGACTGCTTTGGGTTGTGTTACATTTCTGTTAGAAATAAACAGGAGCGCAGGTGCCAGGGCGGGTTTCAGGGTTCTCTCTCTCTTCAGCCTCTGGTTAAAGGTTTTGGTGAGCCCCAGCCCTGCGGGGTGGCGTCGGTGAGGCCTTACAGTGGGGTGAGACCCGGGGCAGGTCTCCAGCACCTTCACTGACGCTGCTTTTCCAGGTCTCACCTTCTTGTGCTTCACTTCCTTTGGCAAAATGGGTTTGTGAGGGTCACAGAGGCACGTGAAGTGGCTGGGACAGAACGACCCCGTCCTTGGTGAAATAAGGGAGGTGAAAGTGCTGGCAGTCTGTGTGTGTACAGTGCTGCTGCTCCATCAACACTGCCCACTCCTTGCCTGGCCACCTGTTGTATTTGAACACAAATTCTGTGAGAAATACCAGTAGATCTTGGCAGATTGGCAAATCTTTAATATATTAAACAAAACATATCTGCTAGAAACATTCTATTTATATAAAAATGCAAAAAGACCCCTTTAAAGACATTTCTTTGGCATACTTTCCCCTCCCTCCCCCACGTATATTGCAAGAAGCTCTCTGTTGATATGTCATTTGCTTGTAATGTAAACAGACAAAAAAAAAAGTGTAATTAATAATACAAAGCTTTTTCTATAATACTGTCACAGTGCAGCAAGCATATATAACAACTCAGCATCAGCACGACCGTGTAGGCTGCGGTATCGGCAATAAGGATCTAAATTGTATTAAATACCAGGGGCAGTGAAAGGTGGTTGAAGCCGGTGGTTGGGCAGAGAGGGGGAGGCAGGCGGGGAGCGGCAGGGTGGGCTGGGGGCTCCCCGAGGGTTGCTAGAGGAGAGAGAAATCCACCACGAAGTGCTTTTTCCTCCACGGCCTTGTGGGTCCCTGGCCCCGCCGGCCCCTCGTGGCCCCTGGGGAGGTAGCTAACTGATTAAACTCATTTGCACGCAGGAGAAAACTGGGGCCGGGGGGAGGCTGAAGGGCAGAGGAGGCACCAGGCTCCCATCCCGCCGCCTCTGTGTCACTCGGGGCTGGGCTCGGCGGGCGTTGGGCGGGTCACCGCCGGACACGGGGTGACATACAGCCCCCGGCTGCGGGGTAACCCACCTCCCCGTGGGCTAGGAAACCTCCCAGAGCCTGCTGCTGCCTGCAGCGGGGCTCAGATGCTAGAAAAAAAAAGGGGGGACTTGTCTATAAGTGGGGAAAAAATAAGTGCTTATCCAAGTTCCAGCCCTTTTGATTGCATCAATGGGAACTGCCTGAGGAAGGGCCCGAATTAACTGGCAGCATTCTCCCGTTTTCTCAGGGACGGCCCCAGCTCCCCGGCGCTTTCATCTTACAGG